TACAGGCAGGGGCAGCAGAGGAGGAGGGGACCCAGGGTCTGGTCCTTGCTGAGGTGCTGCATATTGTGGACTCCATCTCCTCTCACTCAGCTCCTGCCTCCCTCTGCCACACTGGAGGGGGCAGCAGAGAGCGCCCGCCTGGATTCCACTGGGACTTCTGAGCCTTTGGTCTTCAGAGGTCTGGATCCCCAACAAGGACAGGGACTGCACTCACACTGACCCTAGTGAGTGATGAGCTGACATGTGCAGTGTGACCAGCAGTGCCCAGGACACAGATGAATGTGTTGGAAGGCTCAGGAGTCATGTTTCCATTTTCCTCAAGGCCACCATCCTAACCACAGCCTCAGGCATGAGGAGGACACAGCCTCCATATCCCATGTGGAAGATGTTAGGGGAAAAATTGACCTGACAAGAAACAAAGGATGAATAACGGAAAGAGTCCACCATAGGACAAGAACCTGACCCATCCTATGGCCTCCAGGGACTGTCTGACAGTTGTTGATAGTTTCTCAGATCCAGTGTAACAACCGCCCTTTTCTGAATATGGCCTTCCTGATCAATTTTGTAACCTCCAAGCTGTCACAAGACTCCATGGCTGTAGCCACCTTCCTCTTACTGCCTCTCACTCATCACAAAACCCACCAGTGGCACTCCCTGTTACAGCCAGCTGGTATTCTGCCAACAAAGTAATCCTGAGCCTCCAGGGTGGTCTTACCCCAGTGTACTGGGTGGTTTGGGGTGTCAACGTGACACTAGCTTGAGTCATCAGAAGAAGAAGCCTCAGCTCAGGAAACGCATCAGTGAGATCCAGCATTTTCTCTATTAGTGATCAGTGGGGGAGGGTCCAGCCCATGGTGTGTGTGGTATCATCCTGGGCTGCTGATCCTGGGTTCTATAAGAAGGTAGGCGGTGGTGGTGCACACCTTTAATCCCAGCACTTGGGAGGGAGAGCCAGGCGGCTCTCTGTGAGTTCGAGGCCAGCCTGGGCTACAAGTGAGTTCCAGGAAAGGCATAAAGCTACACAGAGAAACCCTGTCTTGAAATGCCAAAAAAAAGAATGTGGACTATGCAAGCCATGGAAAGCAAGCCAGTAAGCAGCTCCCCTCCATGGCCTCTGAATCAGCTCTTGCCCCCGGGATCCTGTCCTGCTTGAGTCTCTGTCCTTGGGTGATGAACAGCAATATTGAAGTGTAAAGCCAAAACAACCCTTTCCTCCCCAACTTGCTTTTTAGTCATGGTGTTTTGTCGCAGCAATAGAAACCCTAACTAAGACACCCAGTATGTGGCAATGTTCACAAATCCCTCAAAACTTGGCCTGCATGGCACGTCAGCTGTCTGGCTACTTCATAACAGGCCTCCACGGAGTTGCCTGTCCTTCTCTCTGTGCCCAGCCTGGCATGACCACTACACACAGTACATGAGGAGGAGCTCTTTCCACTTGAAGATGCAGCTCCCCTGGACAGCATCTGGGAAGGAGAGAGCCTTGGGGCTGCCCTGCCTGGCCTGCTCTACTTCCTGTTCTACATTCTCGGGCTGAATGATAAACACAGCAAGTTGGCTCACAGCAGAGGGCAAAGGGCAGCCTGGGCTCCTATGTAAGGGACAGGGTGCCCAGACTACAGTCAGAGTCTTACTGATTCCAGGTGGCTTCAGTAAGGACCCCAAGGCTTTCCCAAAGAAGCCAGAAACTCAGTGAGGCCACCATGGAGCTGCTGGCTGGGAATGGACTGTGGTCTGTGGCCATATTCACAGCCATCTTCCTGTTCCTGGTGGATCTGATGCACCGGCGCCAGCGCTGGACTGCCCGCTACCCACCAGGCCCTACGCCAATGCCAGTGCTTGGCAACCTGCTGCAGGTGGACTTCCAGAACATGCCATACAGCTTGTACAAGGTGAGGGAGATGGTCATCGTGGGCAGCGGAGAGCACGGTCATCTTAGCAGCATGTGGTGGTGCTGCAGCCACAGGCTGGACAGAAAGCTGGTCCTTTAGGAGGAAGGGCTAAGAGACTTCCTGGGAGAGGGGGAGGAGGCTTCAGGGCCCAAGGACACTGTGGGCTTTTGGAGCACAAGGTTGTAGAAAAGCAAAGAACAAGAGGTGGGGCAGGATGTAGCAGCAGGTTTGGGATTACATTGGACAGGGCAGAACTAAGTCACAAAAGCCCCAAGTCTGCAAGGCTCTGGGTTCGATCCTCAGCTCAAAAAAAAAAAAAGCCCTCAGTCCCTCTGACCTCATCAGTGGGTGGGATCTTAGGGGTGGATGACACCAGGATCTAGGGTACTGTGTTAGTGGGGAGGGGGGTTGGGTCTGCTTGAATCTCTTGCTGCCGTGTGGTTTGGGTCTCAAGGAACCTGCATTTCCTCACATACTAGTGGGATGCTAAGGGGCCCGTGGACACTTCCCTGGCTCTTGGTCACAGCTGGGTGACCAAATCTATTATGGGTCCTTTGATGAACTTAAAGGATGAGATGCCTCAGCCACAAGACACCAGAGCTCATGTTGAGGATGTTGATCAGTGGTAGAGCATTTGCCCAGCATTTGCCCAGGACCAATGTTCAATAAAAAGTAACACACATACATACACAGAGATAGAGATGGGGGAGCAGAGAGGGAGATGGAGAGAGAGAGAGAGAGAGAGAGAGAGAGAGAGAGAGAGAGAGAGAGAGAGAGAGAGAGGAGAGAGAGAGAGAAACTACACCCATGTTTATGAGGTGAGCCTGGTTCTAGGATCTTCTGGGGACCCCCACTTCCCAAGGTCTCTGTCCCTCTCCTCCAGTTTCGACAACGTTATGGTGACGTGTTCAGCCTGCAGATGGCCTGGAAGCCCATGGTCGTGATCAATGGACTGAAGGCGGTTCGGGAAGTGCTGGTGAACTGTGGAGAGGACACCTCTGACCGCCCTCCAGTGCCCTTCTTTCAACACATGGGTTTGAAACCCAAATCCCAAGGTAAAGGGCTGTGTGGGTGCAGAATTGGCACTGGGGATATGGCAATGAGTAGAGGAAGCATGGGACATGAATGGGGGTGGTAATGTGGTCAAGCAATTCAACAAAAAGCCACTGAAATCCAGGGTGGAAACTACCCAGCAGGCATGAGCTGGATTGAGGTAGCAACGTTTTGAGAGACTCATGGGTAGAAATCTAGTCGAAAAGAGGAATGATGAGAGCAGAAGACAGCAGAGCCAGGTGTCCTTGGTTACACACACATGTGTCTACAGGTGTGGTCCTTGCACCTTATGGGCCCGAGTGGCGAGAGCAGCGAAGATTCTCCGTGTCCACCCTGCGCAACTTTGGCCTGGGCAAGAAATCCCTGGAGCAGTGGGTGACAGATGAGGCTGGCCACCTCTGTGACACCTTTGCCGACCAGGCTGGTGGGTGATGGGCGAGGGGTGCAGATGGGCACAGAAGACGTGAGCAGTACTGTGACTCACTTGCTTCTCCACTCCCAGGGCGGCCCTTCAATCCCAGAACCATGCTGGACAAAGCTACGTGCAATGTGATCTCGTCTCTCATTTTTGCCCGTCGCTTTGAGTATGAAGACCCTTACCTCATCAGGATGCTGAAACTGCTGGAAGAAGCTTTGACAGACGTCTCTGGCTTCTTTCCTGAGGTAGGAGGCTCAGGGCAGCCTGAGAGCTACTTCTATGCTGTCCATGGTCACAGAGGAAACTGTGCCAAGGCCATGGGGGAGGCCTTGTGCGAGTCCACTGCAGGAGGAAGGGCCTGGAGCTTGACAAACGTCAGAGAACAGGAGGGGAGAAGTGGCTGAAAGTCAGGGTTTCTAGAAAGGGAATCTGGAAGCCTGTGGCTTCCAGAGTAGACTATTCCTTCTGTTCACCCTGGGCTGCAAGAGTCCAAAGGCAAGAACTGAGGAGGAGGCAGGTGATGGGTGGGGACAAACAGGCTCTGGGTCCATTGTGCAGGAGGCTGTGATCTGAGATGGGTCCAAGAGGCCAGCTAAGTGGTTAGTGGGTAAGGAGATTGCCAAACAAATCTGGAGACCTGAGTTTGATACCCAAGAACCATGTAGGGTAGAGACGATGGACCTGGCACATCGCACTGTGACATACACACACTATGGCACAGGATTCATACACGATAATGAATAATGAGTAGTTAACTTTTAAAAGCAGAAGCACTGACTGAGACTTCCTCTGTGGCTGTCACAGGTTCTTAACACATTTCCAGTGCTCCTACGCATACCATGGCTGGCTGACAAGGCCTTAAAAAGTAATAGGAACTTCATGACCATGGTGGATAACCTGTTGACTGAGCACAGGAGGACTTGGGACCCCGCCCAGCCACCCCGAGACCTGACCGATGCCTTCCTGGCAGAGGTGGAGAAGGTGAGGGCAGCTGTTGGGATGGGGCTGTGGGCTGTGGGCTGCCATCCTGTGTATCACCAAGTGCCTCAACCCCTGGGCTGCCTGGGGACAATGGGAGGCCATTGCAGAGTCCTCTCCCCCACTGACCCACTTTTCCTGTCTGTCCCAGGCCAAGGGGAACCCTGAGAGCTCCTTCAATGATGAGAACCTGCGCATGGTGGTGGCTGACCTGTTCACTGCAGGGATGGTGACTACCTCGACCACACTGTACTGGGCCCTGCTGTTCATGATCCTGTACCCAGATGTGCAGAGTGAGCCTGGCTGGGACTGGGAGGGAGGAGAGACAGGCAGACTCCACACGCTTGTGGGTCCCAGCACAGACTTAAGCCAGACGCCAGCAACACTCATGGACGTCTTGCTCACATGGACTCAGCCCTTCACATGGTTGTGGGAGAGGAGAAAGGGAAGTCCCTTGGGAATGCTTCACTGAGGGGGTGCTCTCCCTCCAGGCCGCGTGCAACAGGAGATCGATGAAGTCATAGGACAGGCCAGGAGCCCAGAGATGGCAGACCAGGCCCGCATGCCCTTCACCAATGCTGTCATTCATGAGGTGCAGCGCTTTGGGGACATCGCCCCGTTGAATTTGCCACGCATCACATCCCGTGACATTGAAGTCCAGGGCTTCCTCATCCCCAAGGTAGGCACGGGCCCTCATACTATTACATCATGACACTAGTGTACAAGGTCAGGAAAGAACAAGACCAGCATAGCCTAGATGTCCACCGTGCTTACAGGACCTACCTGAGTGCAGCCATTGAGAGTCCTCAGGAAAGAGAAATGGCCAGTGAAAATGACCACAAGGGGTTTTAGGAAGCACTGCACACAGGGACAGATCTGGCTTGGTTACCCATAGAGACCAGCAAACAGGGCCCTCCAAGGGGATGAGAGGCTTTAGGGCTGAGGTTACATGAAAGGATCAAGTGTGTGAGGGAGAGACTGTGCATGTGATCATGGTAATGAGGGTCTTGGTATCCAAGTCCATGTTCACACCATGTGCCTCCTGCCAGGGAACGACCCTCATCACCAACCTGTCCTCCGTGCTGAAGGATGAGACTGTCTGGGAGAAGCCACTCCAGTTCCATCCTGAACACTTCCTGGATGCCCAGGGCCGCTTTGTGAAGCATGAGGCCTTCATGCCATTCTCAGCAGGTCCTGGGGGGTGCCTGGCTCCCTGTCTCTTCCCAGGGGGCCTTGGAGGGTGGAGCATCCATCAGGCCCCAGACTGACTGAGTCCCTCTCCCACCCACAGGCCGCAGAGTATGCCTGGGGGAGCCTCTGGCCCGCATGGAGCTCTTCCTCTTCTTCACCTGCCTCCTGCAGCGCTTTAGCTTCTCGGTGCCTGATGGACAGCCCCGGCCCAGCGACCATGGGGTCTTTGGGGTGCCAGTTGCTCCCTCCCCCTACCAGCTCTGTGCTGTGATTAGTGCCAGCAGGCACACGAATTCTAGTCCTGCTCTGTAAGTAAGGCTGATCCATGCGCAATAAACCAGTCTTGTGCCTGTCACTGTCTCCTACTCCAACCTCTGTTGTAGAATATTATTTTAAGGTGTGTTACTGTTGTTCATGTTGCATTTGTTTAACTCTGTGAAGCTGTGTTACTGTGCCTGTCTAAAACACCTGATGGTTTAATAAAGAACTGAACATCCAATCGCAAGGCAGGAGAAAGGATAGGTGGGGCTGGCAGGCAGAGAGAATACATAGAAGGAGAAATCTGGGGGAGAGAGAGGGGGAAAAAAAGTAGCCAGAGAAGGAGGAGGACTTCAGGGGCCAGCCACGCAGCTACACAGCAAGCCATGGAGTAAAAGTAAGATTACAGAAGTAAGAAAGGAAAAAGACCAGAGACAAAAGATAAATGGGATAATTTAAGGTTAAGGAAAGCTGGCAAGTAACAAGCCAAGCTAAGGCCGGGTATTTATAATTAAGAATAAGCCTCCGGGGTGATTTATTTGGGAGTTGGGTGGCACCCCCCCCCCCAAAAAAAAGACCAAAGAGCAAAATCAAACAACAAGTCTCAATCCCTGTCTTTGCTGGATCCTCAGACAACAGTCTCCAGACAACTTTTACCACCTGCCTCATCCCTCCCCAAAGAATAGCTAATGCTGTGAGAAAAGGGTGTGCCAAGCCTAGACGTTGGCACAGGCCTGCGGTTTCAGTACTTGGAAGCCTCAAGCAGGAGGATTACATGTTTCTAATTTCAACTTCTTTATTTCATCTTACCTGATGGCTCTCCTGAAACTGGTATCCACATGAATCTCATTTCTTTTTTTTTTTT